GATATAAAACTTCATTTACCAACCTGTCCTATCCCACGGAGTTGAGTTCATGACAGGCTAACCACTTTAGATTTTTTGCAGACATATATATATATATATATATATATTTTATTTTATTTGTACATCTAACCCTAATCGACATTTCGTTGTCAAGATTCACCTTGTGTTTTTTCTGCAATGAAAATAAAGGAAGTCTAAGTCTAAGTCTACGTCTAATGTCCCCTCTGGGATTATTACAGTATTTCTGATTCTGAATTTCAACAAACAGTTTCACCTTGGGCGTTGCCACAGCAGCCGAGTGTCTCCGGGTCCGATGGGGACCGCCCCCCCCAGTCCAGAGGGAGGAGCTGGCTCCTCGGTTCTGCTTCATCTTCGTCGCCATACGTCAGGGTCACCATCTCATAGTCGGACTCCTGCTTCACCTCCTGGCTGCTCCAGACCTCCTCCTGCTCCTCCTTAATCTGTGGAGGCTCCTCCAGGTCCAGACGGGGCCCGTCAGGCTGGTTCTGGGACAGGAGGTCTGGAAACACAGAGGAACAGGGTCCAATTAATAAAGACGGGGGGTGCCACGATGCACCTCTCCTCCCTCTATTGGCCCATTTCAGAGCATAAACAGACTCAGTTTAACCTGAGAGGACAAAATGAGGCTTAAAGTGTCTCACTGCTCGGTTTGATGAAGAATCCTCTGAAAACAGGAGCTGATTTTACACTAAAATGGTGGAAAGATCTCAGTTTTTACACCAGAAACTGAGAGAATTACACGGAGTGAATTTGGAAATCAGATAAATCACTAAAAGAAGTAAAAATAAATCAAAATAAACACAGAATTTCTGCTTTTCTCCTCCAGAACCAGCTCTGATTTCCAAAAATAGGCTCTGTTCCAGCAGATGTTACAGATAGAAGCAGAAACATGAGTTCAGGAGCTGAAACAGCTTCACTGAGAAGTAGAAACTCAGCTTTTGTTTTATATTCAGAGAGCAGCTGAGTTTGACCTCATAAAATGTTATTTTTCTTCATTGCTTTGGTCTATAAAGGGATGGATCAGCGTTCTGACTCCTGGCTGCTACCACATGTGTTGGCTCTGATCAGACCCTGAAGTCCTCTTAGACCCCCCCCCCCCCTCAAATGGACGGACTGTGGGAACCTGGACTCAGTCCCAGACTTCTTCTGGCTCTTTTAATCCACCCCCTCCTCGTTTAGCCCCATTTCTGTCGTCAGACCAGGTTCTGGATTCACAGGGGGGACATGTTTTGTTTTGTTTTGTTTTGGGGGGTGGTGGGTGACAGGAACCGGAAGCTGGGATTTGGCTGTTTTGGGGAAATTATTGGACTTTCTGACATAAATCCGTGAATAAAATGAAGGAAAAGACGCAAAAATGTCATTGAAAACGCGTCGTTATCATTCAATCGATGGTGAATTTTTAGTAATCCGATTCAAACGTTCAGATGGGAGCCCGTCGGCCCCTGACAGGCCGAACCCAGCCGAACAGGGCCGAAACCGCGCGCCGACACTCACCCCGTCCGCGCGGGCTGCTCTGCGGCTTCCGGCCGGTCTCCAGAAGCTCGCGCTGGTGCGCGATCTCCTGCTCGTACCGGACGACGGTTTTCTCAAACTCCGCGAAGATTTCTTCGGCGGCAGCCGCCAGTTTCCCGCGGATAAACTCCTTCAGGCGCTGAGCCGACGCCATGCTGGCCGGAGGAGCCTCAAACTCCACCGAGAGGCGACGAGGTGGCCGGTTCCCGCCGAACCGACACAAATGAAGGCAACGGCCGGCAGCAGGTGCAGCGGCGGCTCGCTTCCGGTCTCACGCAGAGGAGTTCCGGCCGAAGAGAGGTTCCGGCTTTGTTTGGTACCAGGGTGAGTAGAAATAAAATACAGCTTCAGGAGCATCTGGACCCCCCTCAGTCTAAAATAAGAATCACTTTAAAGCTATAAATGAACTTTATATAACCAATTTTCTTTTTTTTATTATTAATCTATATTTAGCTCTTTTAACATTATCCACCACTTATTTTAACCTATGT